CACTTAGGGAAGCAGCCTGCAGATGAGGCTGCTCATTCAGACCTTATCTATTCATGTGGGAGCTGGAAACCTTAGCACTCTGCCTTATCTGCTCTCCCCGGGGAGATCAGTGTGGAGAGAGCCTGACCTCTCCCTCAGCGTTTCAAATCAAACCTGCTGTAATAGTGCCTTTGGTCATGCACTGCCTCAGTCTCTTAATGAAATAATCTTTTTCCCTGCCCTTCTGGGCAGAAATATGTCTTGCCCAAATTCCAGCTAAGTGATACCTGGAGGATAGCTGTAACTGAGCAGAGCAGTGGCAGGAACACCCTCCCTCACTCCCTGCAGCCTTTCCCTGCAGGTGCAGAGCTCGGGATCTGCAAGGCAGTGGAAGTTTTTTCTCTCTCACTGGGGCAGTTCCTGTGTTTATGAAGAGGATCCCTGTTTTCCTTTGCTCCAGGGCTTCTGCAGAGTTCCCTGCAGGTTTAAATTAACTTTGATTCAGTGTTTATTAAAAGCAGTCAGTGCAAGGAGAGTCTCAGATCTGGAATGGATGTTCTCCAAAAACAAGAGCACCTCGGTGCCAGCACAGGGGTATCCACACAAACAGCTCTCAGCCAGAGCTGGCCAGAATCTGTTTTGCTTTCTCACACTTGGAGCTGAGCTATTTTAAAGGATATCAAGCAGTAAATGCTGCAAAGGGGAAAAATTGTTGCAGACTGTATTTGGCAGGAACCCAGCAAAGATAAAATACCATACGTTCTGTGCAATGAGCTCCTACATAAATGATTCATTCACCAGAACACAGCTGGGGTCAATGTCTTCTATTTGAATAGCCCAAAGTTATGCAAATATTTTATGTGGATTTTCTAAAAAAGAAAGAAAAAGAAAAGACTATATATAATGTTCCAATAAAAAAGCTCTTTATCTAAGTAACTTTTAAGAATCAAAATCCCACAAGAACAGTGTCACTAAGTTACACACATATATACAGCAGCAAATGACAAGATATGCCCTAGAGATGCAAACTATGAAAAGATTGCTTGTTTTCCTTTGTTTTGCCAGCCAAGTCTGTGTTACAAATTGTGTGTTGTGGAGATCACACTATTTCAAAATATCAAACTGCTAATTAAAGAAACTACTCAAGGAAACTTTCCAGTAGAACAATATATGCTGTGGGATAATAGTAGTCACTATTTCTTTAATGAGTTTCTTGCCTAACCAGAATTTCTTACAATACATTCAGTGCAGCCATTCAGTTAGATTATTATGAATCACATGTGTATTATTTCTGATTTGGTATTAACATAAAAACTTCTGATGAACCATAGTATTACAAAAACAGGTCTAGTGTACAGAATGGCAATATCATTCCTGCTGATAAAAGTCTGGAAATGAAGGTCCTTATGCAGCAATACAATTTAATGCTTTCTAGACTTAATTTGCAGAGGTGCTGGGAAACTACAGGTCCAGCTGAAGCCAGGAAGGGCAGGGTGTCTCTGGATGGTCAGGTATGTCAATCCACAGCTTGAGCATTGCATTCTGTGGGATCTGAATCAGCAAGAGCTCATGGGAGGGAGAAATCTTTCTTGGTGGTGTTCTTGTAACATGGCTGGTTAGGACAGCAACTTGAGATTTTCTTAAACACTTATATTTTCCTATAGTGAAGGAATTTAGCAATGCCATCCAAGGAAACAGTGTGTACAAGACCTGTGAAGTGATGCAGGTAGAGCAAGTCAAGGAAAGAACTGTTTAGTTGTGTAGCAGAGATAAGAGTGGAGAACATAAGATACCTCTTAAATCCCCTCTTCCCCATTCTGTGAGAGCATGGTGGTGAAGATACTCCTTTCAGGCTCTGAATACAAGTTGACATAATGAGGTGATTTTCCAAAAATATTCCAAGAAGGTGTGTAGCTTTTTCAGTGGTTTGGTGGTGGTATCTAGGTGCTTCATTTGGTATTCTTGAAAATCCTTACTTCCTTCTAAAGAGCTTCCCTAGTGTCTATTTTATTTTCCCTGGTGAACAAGAATGACTCCTTGATCTTGGGTTTTGCATTTGCAAATAGCCATTCTTTGTATTCCCCTCAGATGAAGAGAGCAAACAACTATTTAAAGCAAAGAATGCAAGAGCTTGTGAAGTATAAAAGTGAGCTTTTCCTCCTCATATGTTTGGAGAGGTTACCAGGCATTGGATAAGTAGTCCTTGATGAGTCCTTGGTTTGAATTGTAGCATCTGACCACACAGCCACATTCCACCTGTGGGAGGATTGTTCTCCATCTGCCTTAAAAATCTCTCTTGTGGCCTCTGAATGATTTAGGCTTTCCTTTATCATCAGATGAAATGATAATTCTCATGTTGGGATAATGGCTTTGGATGGTTCATGCACAGCAGGTCCTCACCCTCACTCTGTTATTACCATGACTTTCACTAATTGGAGCCAGACTTGGCTCTGGTGTTTAACAGGCAAGCCAAAATCTCAGTCCAGTCACTCTGCCCTGAGCAATTCCAAAATGTGGGTTGGATGTAGATTGTCTCTGCTGAGCAAATCATTAGTTAGTGTTTCAAGAAGCAAATAATGGTGAGACTCCTCCATCACAGAAGACAAATCAGGGAAGAAAAATGGAAAGGCTCAAAGACCAGTATACCTGCCTGCCCTCACTGGAGCCATCTTCAGGTGGCTTCTCTCCTCTCAGTGTGGCAGGCAAAGCATTGGATCTGAGAGTTACTGCTCTTGGGAAGCTGCTGACATCTGGATGGTGGAAAGTGCAGAGTGAGACGTTGGTGAAGGGCAGCAGGGACCACAGAGTCCCTCTCCACTGCCCATGGACTCCCTTGTTGTCCTTTGTTTAGCGATGGTTATTCCTGCACCTCCTCAGATGCCCTCCCTCTCCTGCCGTCCAGAGCATTGCTCTTTGCATCTCAGTGGATTTATTCTCCTCCTTATCTAATTTTAATTAAAGCTCCTATCTCCCCCCCACCACATAATCAACTGAAGAAAAATGAGCTGGTAAGTCATTGTTTTTACCACTTTGGCAGCAAACAAATGTTATGTCTGGCATGCTCGGCACCAAGTCAGAAAATGAATCAGCAGCTGTTGTGACAGAAGCTTTTTCCTGAATGGGGAAACAGAGAAAGAAAGAGAACAGGCCAGGGAAAGGTTTGTGCAGTGGGCACTGCCAGTCCCCATCACCATGAGGAATGTCTCTGCCCTTCCCTGGGGAGGGTGACCCTGGAGAGGCCCCCTGAGCCCAGCAGGGGCCAGGAGGAGCTGTTTGTCACTGGGCTGGAGGGGCTCTGATGGCGCTGGCTGTGCCTGGGAGGGCAGCAGGGGATGGGGTGGTTGAGGGAAAGCAAGAGTGACCCAAATCTTTGCAGGCCTTCCTGAAAGCCCACTTCAGGCAGGCAGGCAGGCAGGCAGTGAGAGTCCTTCCAGATGCATGGAACAAGAAACACCTATTTGTCCTGGATGGCACTATGGCATGCTTTGTTTTGTGCCCATCCATGGGAAAGGGATGAATTATTTCTTTGTGTCTGGATGGACTTGGATCATACTGAATTGATTTAAGCAATAACCTTGCATGCATTATACACAGCATGCTGTGAGCTGCAAGGTCCTGGAGGAGAGAGTGGTTTATGGTACCCCTGATCACCCCCATCCTTCTGTTTTACCTATTGGTTAACTTGTCATCTTTGGCATCTGCTGGTTCTTTTGCACCAAACATTTGGGGGCACATGAAAAATGCTTTTTACTAATATTAGGGCCTTGTTAATATATTGCAAACCATTTCTACAGGAGCAGCATTAAAGTTTTATCTGCTAAATAAATATTGCCAGGCTAAGCTAATATACAGAGGAGGTCTGGAAAAATTACAACCACGAAGCAGGCACAGGGTCCAGCTGGAGAGCTCTACTGTTCAACTGGATGATGATCAGCACTGGAGCTGCAGCAGGTTTGTCAGAGGCAGAGAACCAGCCTCTGGCTCTCCTTGGAAAAGGCAGCTTTTGCTAGAGCAGTTTTAAAGGCAGTAACAGACAAGTGAGCCAGCTGAGCTGGTGACTGCAACCTGCATGGCATCAGTAAAGTCCAAAGGGACAGTGTGTGGCTGCTAATCAGGGCAGAGGTTGTCCTGGGTTTCTGGAGACAATTGTCAGACTATTTATAGCTTCCTTCATGCCAAACAGACAAGCAATATGTTTGTGCTTTCCCTGTACCTATAAATTCCCTCCTCACCTCTGAAAAATATGCCCCCCTGTCACATGCCACATGGGTCAGAGCAGGGATCTCTTGTATGACACAGCTGCAGGGACTCTCTCTGCCTCTGGTTTCCTCTTGCTGACTCTGCAATGTTGTTTACAGTGCAGGATAAGGCCATGGCAGAGACCCCTCCTGGTTTGGGTTGGGTTGGTTCAGGGTGGGATGGGCTGGTTTATGTTAGCATGACAGAGTACAGTGATTGTGAGAAGAATAACGCTGTAGGCCAGGTCTATCTGACATTTTGTGTATGGACTGACAAGGTTTTTGGTGAAGCTCCAAATTTCCCTTTCATCTCCCTTTACACCAGTAATTCTGATCCAGTGAAGCACTGGTTTGTCTGAGTCATAAAAAACCTGAATTCCTGTGAAAACACCAGGCACAAAGCACCCACAGCTCCTCCTGGTCACCAGCCAGAGGAGCAGAATGTGGTACTGAGAGCCTGTCCCACCACAGCCACAGAAAGGTGTTTTTACAGAGATTTGTTATTCACTGATGGAAGCACTGAAGCCACAGTCACAGCCTCACACATGCCAATACTTTGAGTCCTCAATTACCTAGTTTATGTAGGAAAAGAACTTGAGGAAGATTGCTCTAGTAGGCATGTGGTTATTTAATTTTGGTTTTGTGTTATGCCATGTATGGCTGCTGGATTTATAATCCACCAAGAGGAACCCATTAGACCTCACTTTCTAGGAACACTGCTTTTTATTATCTTACTATATCATTTCTTTTCTCACCCTGATCCTGCAAAACTTTTACATCCAGATGCTGTGGTGCTCTTGTTGCTTGTGTGGCAGCAGCTCAAGGGACTGGGCCCAGCCCTGCTGGAGGAGAACAGGACCAGTGACAGCCTGACATTGCCCCAGAGGCTTCTCAACTCCTGGGTAACTTCATCCTCAGCTGCTGAAGGTAATGGGAAGTGGAGCAGTCCTTCAGAGTAATTTCACCTGAATCATTCCTGAGTGGGTTTTAAGGTAATTGATTCTGTTTGCAAAGGTGAAAAGGAGGGAAAAGTATATGTATATATATATATATATACATACATATATACACTTGGTGTATATATAGGTGTATATCTATCTATCTATCTATCTATCTATATATACATACACATACTTGGTGAACATGTGCTGTGCCTGCAGAGGTGGTGTGGAGACCCTTTTTCCAACCTGTATTTAAAATACATTGTGTCTGATGCTGAAGGTGTACATGCAGCTTGCTTTACAGGGTTTACTGAAGTCACTCCTGATTTGCTCCAGGCCGTGATTATGTGAGAGGTAAGTGAAGTTCATGGCTTGCCCTAAGAATCAAAATCCAAGCTAAAGGCAGGGAAGGTGCAGTGAGGTTTTGGGACTGACTGGCTGTGAGCCCCAGCTCTCTCCTGACCAAAGGCAGAGTCCATCTCCTCCAGACTGGCTGTGCTGGCAGCCCTGGGCTCTCTCACAGCACCCAGGGCATGGCTCTGCCATTTTTAAGGGATTCAGGATCAGGCTGGGGCTCCTGCACAGCTGCAGTGCCTTGCCCCTATTTTATGTCCCCTGAAAGATTTTTGAATGGACTTCAGAAGCCATTAGGAACCCAAATGTCGACTTACACTTGCAAAATGTCTCTGGTTAATGTTTTCCTACCGACGCTCTGCTCTGCTCCCCGCCTGCCAGAGTTTCCTGTGACCTATTTGAAATATCACTCTCCTAAGTGAAAATGTGCCTCTCTTTTTCAAACTTGCAAAACTCACAAAAATAAATAGCCTAATTTGGCCAGTTAATAGCCCTCTCCTGGGGCTCCTCTCAGCAACTAAGAGGCCTTTTAAATACAACATTTGTGACTGCGTCATTAAAGCTCTGCATGATCCAAGCAGACTAAACCAAAAAGAAAGAAATGCCTTATTTGATCTAAGTTTTCTTTTCTTTTAAATAGTGACACTAGAGACCCATTTATTTTTAATTACACAATTGCTTTATTAAAAGCCTAAATCCTGCAGTCCCTAGTCATTGCTCAGGCAAAACTGTTATCATTGAAGGAAGGACCTGTAGGAGTCAATCCTAAAAATAGGGCAGCTGACAAAGTGCCTTTCAAAATGAGTTTGCTTTATTTTTGAAGTATTTCCCAAGTCAAAGAGAACTTGCCTTTGCTTTGCTTTTCAGCTATGCTGAGATTTGAAAACTGAATCTAGGAAAACAGTCACTCCAGAAAGCAAAATCACTCCCAGTTTTCCTTTCAGACTGGCTCTGCTGCCCTTTTTATCCTGAAACACCACCCTCTACAGAGCCACAGTAGTATTTACTGGCCCGAGATATGCATGGGAGTCCATAGAATCTGCTGCATTGGAAGAGACCCATGAGGATCATTAAGTCCAACCCCTGACCCTGCACAGGAGAACCCCAGAATCACACCATGTTCCTGAGAGCATCATTCAAATGCCTCTTGAACCCTGTCAGGCTGGTGCTGTGACCATGAGGAGCCTGTTCCCTCTGGGTTTGGGAAGCCAGCTTTGAGTCCTGCAGCACCTGTGGGGAGCAAATCCAGCTGCTGGCAGTCTGGCAGAGGGCAGGATTGTCCTGTGCCACTGATCCTGTGCTACACAAATGCATTTCTGTGCTGGGACTCTGAAGGACAGGTCTCCTTGCTGGGTTAAGACAGTGCTGCCAGCAGCAGGAGAGTGAGCAGGCTGGCCAGCCACATACACTGGGTTATATTTCTGGGCTAAACTCCAGAGCCTTCAATTTTATTATCTAATTACCCAACCAAACTCATTCATCTTTATTTTTCAGCCTTTCCCACAGATCCCAGTTAAAATGCAGCTTTGCTATCTGAAGTTCTGCCCAGGCACTGTCTGCTTGGAAAAATTCATGGTTTCTCAGCTTTATTCACTCAGACTGTGTTTTCTTAGTGTAAAGGATGAATGGCAGCAATCCCAGCCCTGATCCGCAGCAGAGGTCTGCATCAGGCTGTGCTGAGAGGAAGGTGGCTGCATTGTCATAGCCAGCTGGACCAGGGGAAGCAAGAGGAAGAAAATAAGCCTCTGCTGAAATGTAGGCTTCATCCCCAGTGTGATATGTCATTAGATTGCACTCAGGGCTTTGTGGCATGGCTCGCTGCAATGCCTTTATTGCAAAGTACAAACACCAAGAGTTAGTAAATAAAAGCAACAGGGGGAAAAACTGCCCCCCAGAAGTTAATGAGACATCAGGAATACATCCCTGGACAATGGAGTCCAAGGGGGAAAAATCCTGGTGTCCCATCCTTTTTCTCTCCAGGACACGAGCCCTCCTCTCCATATGTTGCTGTGTGTAGCTGTAATCCACGGCCCATGCTGGGGCAGAGGCTCCTGCTTAGCATAACCCTGCCCCTGGGAGGGGCTTATCCTGCAAATACTCCGTGTGTCCTACGCTCCCTGCCTTTATTTCCTAGGGGAATGCACATGCTGGCAGGTTCGGTGGGCATTCAGACATGGTAAATTGCTGCAAAGCAGGAAAGCAGTATTGCTGTTTGCTCTCCAGGTGCCAAGGACTGGGCAGGGCAGAGAGGGGAAGGTGGCAGATGCTGTGGAGCTGCTGCTTGCCAGCTTGCTCTGGTCTGAGGGAGGGGACACGGCAGGGAAACCCCCATGCACCCTTCTCCCTTTCTCCCTTGCACACAGAGTCCTCCTGGTGCTGCCTCCCAGCACAAACCCCCCTGGATTTGGGAGCTGTGCCTCACACAGGGCTGGGGCAGAGGCACAGATGCTCTGTGCTCACTCCTGGCCATCAGCAGAGCCAGGATGAGCACAGCAGGATCACACAGGGATATGCTGGTACTGAGCTGGACCTGCTCGGCAGGGCAGGGAGGTGTGCTGCAACCCAGGTAGGTGTGTGGAGGGAAGGACAAGCCTAAATCCATGCTGAAGGGAGCAACCCTCTGGAGCAGAGCATAGCAAGACACCAGGGCACAGAGCAGATGGGTTTGGTCTGGAGAAGGGAATGGGCATGGTCAGGGAGAGCTGCTGCCTGTGGTGATGGAGTGCTGGACCCTCAGTGTGCCTGGTAAAAGCCATGGAGCTCCCAGGGTGTGCTGTGCTCTTGCAGGCTCCACTCAGGGACTCTCTCACACGAGGCCACAATTCCACTCGTCCTGCACCTCTGCGGCAGTGGAACTTCTCACTTCACCTGCTAGGCTTTCTCCAACCACACACCAGCTGACTTTATCTTCCCAGATGTTTCATGTGATCTCTCCCATTCTAGCTGGTACCCTTGACCACAAGCAGCACTTGGAACAATTAACACCTTGTGCTCCTACCATCTCATGGTTTACAAGGCAGCTGGTTACTAGGGCAACAACTGCACCTTTTTCTTTCGGTGTATTGACTGAAAATCAACATTTTATATTAAAGGAAAAGAAAAATAATATTCTCTCAAGCCACAGTGAGTTACAACACCATCTCTCCTGTAATCAAGATATTGCTGAATTATGGTGCTATAAACAAACACTTCTGATATAACAACAAACACTGTGGGACATGTAACACATTGGCAGTATATTTCAAGTGACAAACTCATTTATTGTTGGGAGTGGAGGAAAAGGAAAAACACCTTTCCAGAAGCCACAGCAAGGAATTACAGCAAAGAATGACCAGAGCTTAAGGGTACAGGCACAAAGTAATTCTAACAACCTGCCTGGAATGAAGCACTTGGAAGTATGAACAAGATTAGAGCAGTACCAGTGGTACAGGAGGTGAGGATACAGGTTATTCTCTCCTTTCAACTGGCATAAATCATGATTAATTCCATAGCACTTAGAACTGCCATGATGTGGGACTGGTGTAAGGAAGTAGCTCCCAGCAGGGGCTGGGGAGGGGAGCCCCTGCTATCCCATAACCTTTGCAGGATGGTGTGGAGTCTCCCTGCCTGCAGGTGGGACTCATGTAACAATCATGAATCATTAAGGTCCATTCCTATCTGGGAGATCAGGGGCTTGGGGTGAAAGTAGCTGCTGCCAGATGCTGTGGAGGCAGAGGACAGGCTGGGAGCTGCTTGCCAGAGATTTCATCTCTTGCTGTGTTCCAGGTGGCTGCTGGGTCACTTTTGTCAGTGGGACTGGAAGGGAGCCATCACCTGCCTCCTGGATGGCCTGCCAGCCCTGGTGTGTGGTGAGTTCCAGCTCAAACAGGATGATTTTTGTGTTGTTTTACTGTGCCGCAGGGTGCTGGGATGTTTTGGTGCTGCCCGAGTTGTTAAATACACGTGAGCTGTCAGTGGTGCCTCTCTCAGCTGAGTGGGACCACGGATGGAGTGGGGAAGCAGGATGGGCTGGGCAGCTGGGCAGTGTCTGCCAGACACAAAGGACATCTGTGCTGTGCAATGGGAAACAGGAGTATTGCCTCCCTTAGTGAACCTGGCCCTGGAAAAGAGAATGTAAATAACCATCTCTGGTGTGCTGCATGCATGGTTCTGATCATGGCAGAGCACTGGTGAGCAGGAACCCTCACTGCTCAAAGCTGATCGTCTGCCTTGTGACTTCTGCATTTATACCAACATGCAGGGCATTAACATGTTATCCAAAGCTCACCTGGGGTTTGCAGGCCTGACTTTGAAGTAAAAAAAATCAGCTAGATAGACTGTGATGTTTTAAACGACCTAGCTGACAATATAGGTGTCAATATAGCCTTCTGTAAGGCTGGGTTTCCAAACATGCCTTTGCAAGAACACTGGGGTTCCCTGGCTTTAGTTTTAAGGGAGTTTCAAGCTGAGGGGAATAAAGCTTCAAGCAATTCCACTGTAGAGTTTGTAAATGAGCACAAAAATGCATTGAATGGGAGCTGTGCAGTGTACAGACTTCTGATGGGCTTGGCAGCAAAGCTCAAAAGTTCCTTAAATAATAAGTCTGTGATTTCTGGCAGCCTGGAAATGCTGAACTTCTTTGGATATCAAAGCAAATAGATACATCTTAACAAAGACCACCTCTTGTCAGCTATCCTTAAAATTATAGCACAGAGACGGAAATAAAATGTGTGTACTTGTGTCTCCTGGGACATGACGGAAGGGGAAAGCATTATCAGAATTCTTTAAACTCATCTTAACAGTATTGAACCAATTATTTTGTTAAATCTGGGTTTGTTTTCTGCCTCTCAATGAGAACATTTGAAGTCTATCATCTCCACCATTTACGAGTTACCAGTCTGCAAGTGTAAAATTTCCAACTGGAACATATGGTATCAGAGGGAACAAGGGGGAAATATCTGATTGCTCATGCTCCCCAAACTCCAAATCTACTCCATTTAGTATTTTGCTCACAGTTCCTGTAGGGGAAAATAAAAGAAATCATCTCTGATCTGAGACCAAGCACTGAACATTTCACCCTGAATAGGAATCTGTTTGAAAAACTTATAAGCAGCTGAAAAGGGAATAGAATAGAAACTACATTTCTGTTTCTTCACAATGGGCAGAACTTAGCAATGCTGATAAAACCTCTTTGAACCTTCTTCTCTAAGTTCTGACACCTGATTTGGGGCCTTGCCTCCAGCCAGCATATAGGGACAGAGCAAGCAGCAGTTCAGAGACCACTTGTTCTCTTTCCTGAGGGTGTCAGTGGGGCTGGGTGTGCAGCAGTGGGGCTGCTGTGGTCTCTGCACAGGGCTGGGGATGTGCTCTGCCTCTGAGCCCCATGGCACTGGCAGGCTGTGCAGGACACCCTGCTGGCCATACTGCCTGGGTTAGCCCCACTGCGAGTTTGGAACTGCTCTGGGGATCACTGCAGTGACACAGGACCTTTGAAATCAGCAGGCAGCACCAGCTCTTGGGCACAGGGCAGCCACAATGCTCTGTAACCTGTCAGCTCCTTGCTGGCCTCTTGGTACTCCCTGGGCTGAGCCATTCTTGCATGGGCAGAGTGACCATGCAGACCTTCCCTCTGTGCAGAGCAGCAAGCATCCCCTTCCTCTGCTTTCCTGCAGAGCAGAGGCTGAGCCCTGAGCCCCCAGGCTGTGAGGTGTAAGAATCAGGCTCCTCACTCTCCTTCCTGGCACAACAAGGAGGCCCCAAGCCTGCAGCCCTGGGGCCTGATGTGGCCAAATCCAAGAGCAGCCTTTCCCTTGGCAGCACGGTGGTCGTGTGGTGCCACATGTACAACCAAAGCTCTCCTCCCTGCCATTCAGACAGAAAGCAGCTTGTTTTGGAGCAACTTCCCTGGGAGGGGGAGGAACAGATGTTTGAACCAGAAGCGTGTGTGACAGTTGGGAGAGACAGCGTGGAAACGCACAGTTGAAAGGAGAAGTCTGATGGGAGTGTGATGACAGCAGCAGGACTTCAGTGACAAGGAGTGGGAAGGAGAACAAGCAGGGAGGAGTGTTACTTCAAAAGCTGAGCAAAGTGCACAAGAAGATATGTCAGGAAAGCGTCAGAGAAGGGAAGAGAGGAAATGTGAGAGTAGAGACAGGCTTTGGGATCTGTCTGCAAGCATGTGTGACCTGTTGCCTGACAAACAGAGAAAGGAAGGCCTTTTATGCCTCTGCCTCCTTCCACCCAGTTAACTCTTCCTGCAGGCAAGCTGGCTGCCAGCTCTGCTGGAATGCTCCTGAAAGGTAGAGCTGCCTGTGCTGCTCCAGAGCACAGGGATTGAGGGGTACTGTGTGAAGGCACTCTATCAGGGATGCCCCAGCCCTTCCTCTGCCTTTGTAGGGTGGCACAGTAGCCACAAGCCCTGGGACTTCTGGGCGCTGCCAGAGTCTGAGGAGAAGAGGTGAACAATCTCGTAGCAGAGGTGACAGTCTTGTAGCAGAGGTGACAGTCTCATAGCAGGCTTTGCCTGTAGCTGTGCTGTGATCCCTGGGGCAGGATGTGTGAGCAGAGAGAGGTGTGTGCAGGAGTGTTTCTCCTGCAGCAGGGAGGGCCCTCCCCAGCAGTGCCCTGCCCTGGTGACATCAATCCCAGCTCTGCAGTGTCTGTTTTTGCCCTGGCTCAGCAGATGTGCAAGGCAGCCCAGGAACACGCTGCTGGAGCTGGGGAAGGGGGCACAGTCCCTTCTACTCCTCAGGGATTCACTGGGGCAGTTTGGCACAACACTTCCCTCACTTCTCAGGGTGCTTTGGGAAACACAAACTGGTCTGTTGTGCTTTGTGTCCTCTTGTAGGGAGGAGAGAACTTCCTTAAGTACAGGGTGAGCCCTGGCATGCAATAATGAGGGATTGCAAGGTGGATGCCAGCCACAGCCAGCTGGGCCAGGAGCTGCAGTCTGACAGTGGATGTTGCACAGCTGGTGGCTTTCACCCTGCACACAAACACTGGCATTCATTTCTTGGTGTGAAATCCCAGCAAATCAGAGGCAGGCAGTATCCCTTATGTGGGTGTGCAACGGGGAAGGCTGAAGCAGGGTGATGGAGCCAGGTCAGGGTGATGGAGCCAGGTCAGGGTGTCCAGCAGCTCTGGGGAGAGGAGTCTCCAGCAGGGACTGTCAGTAACGTGGGCTGTGCAGGGCTGAGGCTCAGTCAGCAATGCCTTCTCTCATTTATTTATTTTAAGGATGAAATGGATGGAGAGGAACATGAGGGGAAAAGTGCCAGGACACTACAGCAGTGCAAGGTGTGGAGCACTGTTGTGGAAACAGCTTGATGGAGGTGTGAAAGCCTGAAGGATCTGTCCTTCCTCACCAGGAGAAGCAATGCAGGCTCCTGGTAAGGAAGGAAATTTTGGGCACCATCGAATCAATGCACAGGTGATGTTGGGAGTGTGAAGATGAGGAAAGCCTCTCTGGTGCCTGCTGTACTGATGGTCTGGGCTGCAGGAGCTGGTCTGAGGGGAGCAGCCATGGGCGCTTCTCCTGTGTGGCTGTGCTGGCTGTCCTCACTCCAGAGCTGTGGTGTGGGTCTGTGCTGAGGGCAGAGGGGTCCTGCAGGGGTGGCCTCGGCCAGAAGGAGCACAGAGCAGCAGGTGCCTCGGTGTTTTCACCCAGGAGTGATGTACTTTGTAGCAGGATAGGGTTGAGGATCCCCCAGATGCTCGGCTTTGTAGCAGAATTACACCTTTCTTCTAATTAACTTGCACAGGATCTTGTGCAAGTTAATTGTAAGAGTCAGGGTCAGACCCATGTTGCATTTTTTGAAGGTAGTAGTGAAGGTACTGAAATTAAATTCTCCTGAGTGAAGACCTGTTTTCCCTGCAGTCTAAGCTCAGAACAACAGAGCAATCTTTAGTCTCTGGAGAAGGTTTAAAAATCTTCCAGGTCTGTGTTCCTTGTAAAAAAAAAAATTTAGTCAGCACTTGACACATCTGACAGTTGCCAGCCCTTGTTCAGTGTGATCAGGGCACTGTGTACTGAATTAATCAGGGAACTCCATTCTGCCTTGTGGCTGGGCAGTGCTTCATCACCAACCCTGCAGAGCTGCTGGAGTGGCTCTGGAAAGCAGTGGCAGGAGAGCACAAGTGATTTCTGCCTCTGCCCTCCCAGCATAGGCTGGCAGAGAACGTTCCTTAGGACCAGCAGCCTGACTTGCTCAGGCTTTGCTGCAGCCACAGGGCTGGTGGAGCAGAGCCCTACATCACCCAGCACTTTATGTGTGCCTAGGAAAAGGAGCCTGAATCCCCTTCCTGCACTGGAGCTGCCAGGCTGGATGCCAACACACAACCCTCAGCATTTTTTTATTTACTATAAACCTCTTAAATGAAGGCTGGGGGATGTTTTTCATTTACCGTGTTACTGTATGGAACCAATCACTATAAATTTAAATAGAGAGCTGGTGGGAGCACACTTACCTTTTATATCATAATTGTGCGAGTGCTGCTGCCTAACTGCTATTAGGATTATTCAGAGCTTCTCAGATTTCATTGTAAAACATTAGGCTGTGAGAGGTACTGTAAGGGTGTGATTATCCAAAGAGGGTAAGTAGTAGTGGGGGTTGTTGGCCAGAATTGCTACAAGAAGGAAGAAATGCTTTGTAGCTGGAAGTAGAGGAACTTGAGGAGCATAATCTGCCATTCAGAAATACAGAATGATCTGTGCATGGGGAAATCCCACCTGACTTCTATCTGGATCTGCACTGGCTGGACAGGTGTGACTCAAATTGTCACCAGGTGTGATTCAGATCGTTGGCTGAGTGTAGGTGTCCTGTGCTGCCCTGAAGAAGCCCTGACAGCACAGAGTCCCAGTGCCGTGCTG